ACATCAGAATTAAAGGTTTCATGGTTGAACAAAGTAAAAGACTACATACTAATCTCTTCTACACATAACAGATGGAAGTTAGGAAACAAAGGACATAAAAACAGAACAAGGACAAAAAAAATTAAGCTCACACTTGTTTTAAATAAAACCTCTGAATTTCACAACACAATTTCTGGACAGAAAGAAACCCCTGTAGTATCTTTGCTTTTAGAACTGAGAAAAAACTTGACGATCAGTAAGACATTTAAATAAGCCTTCCAATAAGAAGGACTCATGACTAAGACAGATGTGGCTATACATACTCAAGTTCATCAAAACCCAGTGGAAGGGAAATTCAACACATGCAACAAATCCTTGGGTGGGTCCAGTAATCATAAAAGTTCTTCCCGAACATCAAACATTGTTGACATGCTGACCAGAAACTGTAAAAATGAGGTTAAGACTTTGACTTAAGGTAAACATTAGATAATACGATTAACCAATCTGAATATCAATAAATAACTAAAACTTCTATAATAGCTAAGCCATCTTAAGCAACTGCTAGAGAAATTAATTTAAATGCTGATAATCCTGGTTCCAGCTTTACCCAGGTTTCACCTCTACCTGTTAATTCTGTACTATTCTTAACAGAGTAAAAAGGGTACAAAACAGAGCCATCTTTGACATATAGTTACTTACCAATGTAAGTCTTAGTTATGACTTAATTTGCTCCTTAAGAATTTTTCCAGATTTTTCACTGTAAAGTGATTTTCCAGCTCCTGTTCTTGTAAAGTTTTCCCTGAATTTTTATTTTTACTACTTGACTGTTTGTGTTTTTCTGGAAGCCTCTGCATCACTGATTTATGCTGCACACAGAGCAATAGCTGCCACACTTCCAGCCACAATCCTCCTGCCTCGACCTGCAGTGACCACAGCTGCCGAGGGACCAACCACAGGGCTGTGTTTAGTGGTGCTGAGAGTCCTTCCAGGAGTCACTGCCCCAAACTATGCAAGACTTTTTTCTTAATACACCCTTTAGCATTTAACTGTGCCAATATAGTGACTTTAATACTTCTTTCAAACAGTCCCTATTAATACATTAAAAAATGTTGGTGGGATCCCATCAGAAACTCTTTAGGGAACTATTTAATGAATATTTTCTGTTTAAAATCACATAGTACAGTATTTTTTGTATCTGTTTTATATGGGGATAATTTACACATGGGAAACAGCCAGAATCACCATCAGGAAAGATCGCAGTTGTAGAACTTCAACTTCTATAGTCAGGAATCAGAGTAAGAGAAAAAAAAAAATCCTTTTGATAGCTTTAATCATAACAATTAAATCAACACCATATTGTCCATATTGGTGAATACCTTCCTCAAACATCACCCATTTTTCAACATAAGGTCTAAAACAGGGTATCAGTCCTAAAATCAGTGTATGCTGTTGACTGTACAATTTTCAAAAAGCAAATCCAATGAATAAAGAGCTAATTGCAATCTTATTTTTCTCTTGAAAAATGTGCAGCAGCAAAGATACTGCTTTTATCATTTTTCATTTGTTAGTACTGATTATGTAGCCACATTGATTTTTCCATTTTCATTATGGAAGTAGCAGCTTTGTTTTCACCTCTCTCTATCTCTTTTCAGGAATGTTTTGTTTCCTTTAGACAAATGCACTTTCCTGAAGCACATGTACATTGAGTACAAGCAAAGATAAGGCTGAAAACAGAAAAATGGATTCCACAGCAATTTACTTAATGCTGCTCCAACAATGGTTATAGGTTGCATTTTACTACTTTGTTAGTCTTCACAGTACTGCTAAGAGCTCTGCTGGACATGGCTGTGCTTGGCAAAATATTTCTCTGTCACAGGCATCATAATGTTGATCCTCATAATCAAATAAACCATTTCTAAAGTATTGACTATGATATTAAACCTTGGTGCTGAAGTTACATAAAGCAGTTATATCCTGTAAGGACAGTAAGGTTACTGAATATCGAGTGATTTTAAAAGGATGACTCAATGTTGGCACAGCTCCCCAGCTCATATACAGAATTTCCTTTTCCTCCCCTCCCTTGAATCCGGAAGTCTCCTAGATGCATTTTTACTTTCCCAACTTGCTATGAACATAGGATGAATTTTCAGCATTATCTGTAGAAATGAAACCCTCCTTTTGAGCTATATTCTTTGAAGTAATAAAGAGCCAACAAACTGAAAACAAATTACTTTTACCTCTTGTATTAGAGCTTATAGAAATCTTCATTAAGGTAAAAATGGGAATTAAAAATGTGAAGAGTGTTCTAGTCTAGGTATTTTTAAATATCTTGGACACGTTTTATATACATTCATACATTCTATACTCTTTACACTCCTATCTTCAAATTCAAAACTACCTTAAAAAAAAAAAACTTACAGTCCATACTTCAAAATCTCCCATTGTTTTGGTAAGCAGTGTTACTTAAGAGCTAAATCATGGACTAAAAGCCATTCTTTATATCTGTGACTAACATTCAATTTGAGTCACTTTACAGAACTAACCACTACTTATATGCTCATACACGAACAATTGTTCTAAAAAGCTGATAAAAAATTCTACTTCTGAAGGTGCAATCATTCCAATGCAACAAAAAGCAAAGCAGTACCACCCATAAAATTAAGTCAAGCTGATCTAAGGATATTCTGTATTTGTTGTCTGTTTTATACTGCCAAAGAAAAGCAAGAGTAGAGCAGAAGTTCTAAATGTGGACATCTGAAGTTAGAAATATAGGCTTTCACAATTTATGTCTTTGCTTCTTTTTAAAAGATGGAAAAACTTACAATTTCAACTAACATAATATCACTTGTTGCAGACAGCATCTATTGTCTTACCTGATAGAAAATAAGATTTTTGAAAAGAAAATTCTATTTGTAAATGTTTAGTTTCAGGGTCAGGATTTTTTTTTGGAAAATCTTAAATTGTTAGGAACCTCAGAGGAAAAACAATTTGTAGAGATAACAGTGAAAAAACTGTATTTATGTATTTATTCTTTACTCTTTTTCATTTCTGCCTTTTTCTGCAACAATTTGAGATCTAGAAGGTTTCCTATGTCTCTATTTGTTCCACGTAGCCAACTCACAGAATGAAGACTGCAGACCTGACTGCTGAGACAGAACTCCTCCGCTCTTTTGGTTGTACAGATGAACCAAGATAGGAATTTGAAGAATGAATCCTGCCCCCTTTCCTGAGAAACAAGCCAGAGGACAGGTAAGGCCCAATGGATAAATGTGGTTCACCAGGCTGGGAGTGTAATTCTGAAAATGCTTTCTTTCCTTAGATGAAAATATATATTTATATAAAATATTAAGGCCAGGACAGAAGCAGGACACTACCCCTTCCTTTCCAATGGAACTGTGAGCAGTAGGTTGCTTGGTAGGTAAGTTGAGGAATTCCTGCAAGCATTTTAAAAGCTCAGTGTCACCAAAAGCAGTTTTGCAGTGCAGTCCTCTTTTAATCAAACAGCACAAAATTATCTCATGAACTGAAATGTGCTTGTCAGCATTGGAAAAAAATACTCATTGGGTGGAACTTGCATTTCCCAGTAACTCTGAGATAAGTTTTTTCCCTACTTGTTAAGCACTAACATTTCAGAGAATTGTAATTAAAAAATCCCTAACTAATTCAAAGTTAAAAAGCCCCAAACTATTTAGAAGGGAAAATAATCCCTGAGCATATTTAGCACCGATCTATGAAAGCTATGAATCCTGCTTTATTACCATGATTTCCTGAACATATACTGCAATCTATATGGATTGAAAACCGTTAATTTGGTCTGCAATAGCTAGCATTTTAAAATCAGTAGAATGTTGAAGACAACCTAACCAGGCAGCTGTAAGTAGATAAAACATTGTCATTTTTTGACCAAATTTCTGAGGAATACCTTTCATGTTGCTTGTGGAAAAGAACTATAATTCAGGACTATGAGTTGGTAAATATTTATTTTATAAGGTTTACACTGAAAAACCACTTGATTATAATGCAACCTATGTTCTATTGTTTTACACTCATGTCTTGTTCTGGTGTTTCACTTATGGCAAGAAAATTCCATTTCATTTTTTAATGCATTGCAAAAATTAATACAATTGTTTAAACCAGTACACAGGCTAGTACATGTCTACCAGTTTTACGAGTTAACAGACCTTCACTTAAGATGTTAAGTCATTACACAAGAAGGTCATGGGGTTTTGTACCCCCTCACTGAAAACTATTTGCAGACTTACAGAAGGATAAATGCAAAAACTGATTTGACTTCCAATGACAAAATGTTCTGCCCCATTGCACATTTATCTGTAATGTTAAATAGTTCTGAAACTATTAAACTAAATAGTACTTGAGGTGATAAAATACTCCACGACTAATTTTTCTCAACTTAAACCTTTTAGTGCTTAAATATATGCCCAACAAGACAAATTACACAAATAAAATATATGCTGTGACTAAATAATAATTTAAAAGTTGAAATAACCCTAACACTATTATGCAAACATCACTACTCGTCATATCATTTCAGAAGTAAATTTAAGATATTACTAACCCTGGGTTATTTTAACTATCACCACACAGAGCCATATTTTACAGTTTAAAGTACTATATGGAGATGTAACTATTAAAACAACCACTAAGTATTAAAAATATGAAAGTTTTTAATAAAACTTGACTCTCAGTGAGAAAATATACACTAAACTCACATTTAACACCCCCCCCCCCCAAAAAAAAAAAAATAATATAAGTTTTACATTATTTACATACAGGTAACAATTTCCTAATAAGGCTAAGTTATCAGCAGGTATCAACTTAGAAACTTCTACAACATATGAACATACCACAAACTTTTTTTAAGGAAATCCAAAACACTTTGTATGCAAACAACACTGATTCTTAAACAGTGAAAGACTAAAACTACTCTGAAAGTAGAAGCTAAATTAAAGTAAAACTTCCCCCTTTCCCCCTCATTCTCTTAAATAAGAAACTAAGCTCACCCGAACAGAGCGAACACGCAGAGCCAGAAACTTAAACATGACTAAGAAACCATGATGTTTGGATTTTCTGACTGAGCGATCGTAAGTCTAGCAGGGAAGACCAACCCTGGCGTTTCTGCTGTGACCAGCTGTTCCGGCAATTAGAAAATTTCCTGTCAGGCAAGTCAGACACAGCTGGGGGGTGGGGAGAGAGAAGGGGGGGGAAAAAAAGCTCAAAAAAAATAGAAAAGACATTAAAAAAAAGATATTGATTTGACACACACACACACAGAGCTGTGATAAAGACACACTGGGCAGCAGTGGTACTCATGTTGCTGATACTTACAGAGATCAGCACAGGAAACTTAAGCAGATTGCCTGATAGCAACAGGCTGTTGCAGATGTTACTGATTCCCGGTTCCCAGAAAAGAACAAAAGACACCAGCATCTCTTTCAGACATCACACTACTATGCAACATTTCACTGATTAAGCACAACAGCAAGTATTTTAAGTCCTATATGTGATAATCGTATTTTTATGAATTTAACTTTACAAAATATTTTAAGATATCACGTATCACTACCTTATGGACTTCAATGCAGAGAATGCATAAATATTCTTTTTTTTTACTACAGTTTAGTTAGAGGACCAAAACTACCTTGTGTCTAGTCCTTTGAAATCCTGCACATTGAAAATGCTACACAGATGTTCCAGGCCAAGGCAAACTGCAGAAATATTTGAATTGGATTGCCCAGCTCAAATGTCTGACTTATGCACCAATATTGTATTGCTCTGTAGAGAGTGAAGTTCTTGAAGTAAAAAAGATCCCTAAGATTTCTTTCAATGTTTAAAAAGCCCCAAACACTTCAAATGTTTTAGGAATTAATATTCAATCTAGTTACTTTTCAAACAGTAAGAGATTAAATTTTCAATTTGATCTCTCCAGATTTAGTATGGGAGCTATTTTCCTGAATAGTAATATTATCTTAAGTTTTTTTGATACTTGTTAAAACAATGAATTCCAAAGTACAGGCTCCTTTAGTGAAGCAAGACTGTTTTTCAAGTAATAAATAAACAAAGGCAAGTAAAAACCTTTAGTCAAAGGCATATACAAGTATTCAGCTATAAACATATCCAGGTGATTCTGTTTAGTGACTACGTATCAAAGGAAACCTGCAGAAAAAATACTGTAGTCCTGCTTGCACAAGACATGAAAACAAACCCACCCTGCAGACAGCTTCCCTTTACTGGATTCTAAAAAGTATCTGGATTACTGCGTTTTTTCTTATATTTCAATTCCTCTTCAGAAGACAAAGACAGTAATTTAAATGACAGAACACATTGCTATCTCTATCCCACATCCTGACTCCCCACAGTATCAGTTTCTAGCTTTTCCTTTAAATTGGGATTACACATCTCCTCAGCATGAGCCAAGAACCTCTTCTCAAAATGGAGAGGTGAAATAAAGACCTGACTTTAGCTATATGCAGAAGCAAAATTGTGCCCTTTTAGTGTTCTCTTCTACTCCTGTGGGTCTTTATTTGTGTCACATCTGCAGGGATGATCTTTTCAAATCTGTGTACTGAATATAACAACTATTATTATAATAAATACTACTACACAAAGGAGGTCTTTGTGACTCAACTGAAGGCTCGTAAGTCCTCAATGCCATGTGCTTTATACAGTCCAGTGTGGTACTTCCTTTTTGGAAGAAACAGTCTCCTACAACAGCAGTAACACAGCATGAAGAATTATTGAACATTAGTTTTAAGATGAACAAAGCTTCTCTAATACAAGGACCTTACTGCAACACAAGGATTTCAAATATTTCATAAATAGCATAATAATTACTTGAAGCTTTACTCTCTCCAATTGTTTAAAATTTGCAGCTACTTCCTCCTTCAAAATTGAAATACCTCAAAAATTTCATTTTGCAGTTTAACAGCAATATAGTTATTTTCACTTGGAAAACTTAAAAGAAATTTAAAGAAATAAATGGGAGACCATTCAAGCTCTCTGCTTTTACGTTGTCAAGAATAGATACAATTACAGTAAAAGCAGAGTGACCAGGAATCTTCAAGTCACCAAATTAAACCCTGTGGTACCAAAAAGAGCTTAAGGCAGATATGGAGAGTAAATCGTAAGAGCTTCTTTAACTACAATATTACTTCAAGATGAAAAGATACTGTGGATAAATAATAATTTTCTTATCTTTTGGGTAAAGGTTAGAGCTTATTTTGCTGCAGATATGCTGTATCTGCTAATGGTGACAGGAATAAGGCATTTCAACTGAAACATTTGTACAATTACTGACTACTGCTCTCCCAAACCTTTTATGTGACCTCACAGTGAAGTACAAAGCAGAGTGCTCAGGGGTCAGTGGGGTTATTTCACAACAATAGCTCTCCTATAACTGGCATGAGTCTGGCAGGTGGAAGAAATTTCTTGTGTTCTGGGAGAACACAGCCTGCATGGTTCCCAAAGAGCACCAGCAGCCAACCAGAAACATTAAGATATAAGCTACACAACTCACTTTGAGAATCTCTCAGAAGTGAGCTTGCCCTTTAAAATATTTCTTCGCATGTGAAGGAAACAGGTTAGAGGGCAGCAGTCCCCAACAGGGAAGTCTCTGATAAAAAGAACAAATTGCTCCAGGAAGTGGCTTACCTACCTTAAAATCTTTGATAAGGATTTGTATTATACTTGTTTATCAGGAGAAACAACTGTCTCCAAAACAAAGGGAATGTAGCATGCCTGTCAGTCACAGTTCTGTCAATTACAGAACTCCACTTGCACAATGCATTTCCTTCTCCTCCAGTACAGAAATACAGTCAGTTCATTTCCCATCTTCCCCTCCTCATTATTTAAATTGGATGATCTAAGTTTACAAAAATGAAGATAAATGCTGTTTAGACCTTCAAGGGAACAGAGCCCACAGACACTATGGAGAGTAGAAGAACTGAAAAATGCTGAGGAGCACTCCAAATAATACAGAACATTTGGTAATCTCTGAGTTTTATTGAACACTAAAACATTTAATCTAAATGGAATCCATCAGGTAAACTGACAATCTCATATACCCTCAGTTTGAGAAGTGTAACAATCCAAATTAAATCTTTACAGGGCTAGAAGAGCAAGGCTCCATAGTATGGACTGATTTACATTATTTGCAAAAAATAAAGAAGCAGCACACATAAGGAATGAAAAGCCCTTGTTTGACAAAGGTCAACAGTTGAGGAACAGAGCTCTAATTTTTTGAGTTTTCAGAAGCTGAATACTTTTCTTCATAATAAATATATTTGTATAGCCACAGCAGCAATATTCTATTAAACAGGGGGTGTGGCAGCTTCCATCTGTCAGTTTACAGGCTTTGCGAGGCTACCATCTGTTTTCTCTCCATTTAACAAGTAAGCAGCTTGACTTTGAACATTGCTTACACTCTCAAATTATTCAAATTTTCTGACCAAGATCCAGAAAGTATCCTGCACCTAAGACACGTAATGCAAAATAAGTCACTCAGAAAATCCAGCAGAACACGTCAATGAAATTTTTGCTGTAACCTTTCCTCAACACCTGATCGTATCTTGGGGGGAAAAAAGTATTCCAGGGCTTGCCTTCTTTTTATAAATATATATATTGCCTTCTTTAGTTTGATACCTAAGAGCTAACATCTCAGACCAAATGGTCTGCACTATTTACAAGGATGCTGTAACTTCTTACTTACATGAAGATCTGCAAGTTCATTCTTAGACAGGTAAGATGCATCATGTCACTAAGCTGCTAACAAAATTCATCCAAATTTCAGCAGAGTAGAGTGTCTTGGAAGATAATGAATTCCAAATTCCATCATATTAGACAAAAAAAAGCACTCTGCCTTTTTTCATACAAAGCACAGTCTGGTCATTGACAAGGAAATGACTGGATTTCATTTTACAGGTGTAAATTGTTTGCCTAAAAAAAGCTTCTTTGTTCAAAAATCAAGTTATTTGACTGTAAAATAGAATTAAATACATGAGTACGTATATCTAAGTATAAATATAATATGCTAAATATAGTAGCATACACTGAAAGGAACTTAAGAATTACAGAATACTTTCAAGTACAAGTTTTGTATTTGTAACCCAAGCTATTACAAGTAGCTACGCAAGTAGCTGTCTCAGCTAAAATTAAGTGTCAGTCTGTAAATAATGAAAAATTCAAAACTTGGATTATGGACTATGAACACTTGTGAATCCAAGTATTTCCCTAATGTTCAAGAAATTACAGCTATGTCTTAAAGCCTCTACCACAGAACCAAGAATTGTAATAAAAAAAATGACAAAAATACATACACAGAAAATTGAAATGTTAAGGGTGTATTAGCAAAAGTAAAACAAACATATCGAAATAATCATCAGAAATGCCTTCATTGTCATGTTAACAAGCATGACTGCTCTTGAACATGGAAACTGTTACTGATTACCTGAGCAGGAATAACCAACACAAGTTCAGAGTAGTCCTGAGCTGGTGCTTCAACTTGCCAAAAGGCTAAATTTCTGAAACATTGAGTTCTCACTAGTACAGAATACTAAAACTTGAGGTAAAACTAAAAATCAGTTAAAGCCTCTCTGAAATGTTTTAAAATCTAAAAATCTGTCAGTTTAGTTATGGGTTTTTTTCCTGAATTTTCCGGAATAATATTCTCATCCTACATTATTTTCACAGATGAAGACATAACAAATGAGATTACCCCAGATTACTCTGGATTTAGTATTACTGCTTCAGTAATGGATGCTGTTTGCCCATGGCTGTAACTGATGAATGATCTCCCTCTCCTTATCTTGACAGCCCCACGACTGTGCTTTACAGATTTAGTGTAAATTGTACAGTATATATGCATGTAAAACACACAATCTCAGCAGTGACCAATCAAATTCAATACTTCAACAATGAGATTGTATTGCCCAGTGCTTCAGGTTGTTTTTCCAATGTATTCTGAAGCCTTTTTTAAGATCACACTTTTCTTATAAACTCTTTTAATAAAAAACACTGACTGGAAAAACTACTGACTTCTCTTTGAAGCATTTCTTACTCTACCTTTTGCCTACCCACTGACTAGTCATTGTTACCTTAGTTACATATTTTTAGTAAGAGGATGACAGCTGAGATTTATTTT